TGCTTCTGCTGCTGCTGCTGCTGCTGCTGCTGCTGCTGCTGCTGCTGCTGCTACTACTACTGCTGCTGCTGCTGCTGCTGCTGCTGCTGCTACTACTGCTGCTGCTGCCGCTGCTGCCGCTGATTAAGATGCTGTTGCTGCTGCTGCTCCCGTTTCCATTCCTGCTGCTGCTGCTGCTGCTGCTTTTCAGACAATCCCTCCCCGGATGAAGAGTATTTATTTGGACTTCGAAATTTAATTGGAGGCCTCGAGACTCTCCTGGCGAGCTGCCGGGCAGCAGCAGCGCCGCCGCTGCCGCCTCCTGCTGCTCTCAAGCAGCAGCAGCAGCAGCAGCAGCAGCAGCAGCAGCAGGAGCGGCAGAAGGAAGCCGGCGGAGACTGGGGGGGCCCCCTTGCAGCAGCAGAGGAGGGGCCCCCTCTTCTGTTGTGGGAAGAAGAAGTGAAGGCCGTGGGGGCCCCCGCGCTGCCGTCTCCAGAGGCTGCTGCTGCTGCTGCTGCTGCAGCAGCAGGCGCAGCAGCAGCAGCAGCAGCAGCAGCCTCCAGGGCCGCCACCGTGCCACCGTCTTCCTCTCCATGTCCTGCAGCCCCTCAAGGGATGGCGAAAGTGGGGATCGTCTCGGGGATCGTGAAGGGGATCGTCTCCAGATTGGGGATCGCTTTGGGGATCGTCTCCAGACCCACAGCGAGGGCTGGGGGAAGCAGCAGCTGCTGCCCCCAGCTGCTGCTGCCCGCAGAAGCAGCAGCAGCAGCAACAGCAGCATCAGCAGGCGCCTCGCCGTAGAAGCAGACACGCAGCAGCAGCAGCAGCAGCAGCAGCAAGGGGACGAAGCTGCTGCTCACCCAGTGGACGCGAATCTCTCCGAGGCAGCTGCAGCAGCAGCAGCACCAGGAGCAGCAGCAGCAGCTGCTGCTGCTGCTCCTCAAGGCGATTCGGAGTTGAAAGAAGCGGCTGTGGAGCCCGCAGCAGCAGCAGCAGCAGCAGATGCAGCAGCAGCGACAGCAGCAGCTGCAGCACCATCTCTTGAGGTGGCTTCTTTAGGCCATCCGTTAGCTGCTGCTGTTTCTGAGTCTCTCTTGTCTTCCAGCCAGGAGCGTGAGCTGCAGCAGCAGCCAGCAGCAGCAGCTGCTGCTGCTGCAGCAACAGCGGCGGCAGCAGCAGCAACCGCTGCTAGCGCGGCAACAGCAGCAACAGCAGCAACAGCAGCAACAGCAGCAGCAGAGAAGCGGCAAGGAAGCAGACACACTTCTTCTGAAGTTGAAAGAGGCCGCAAGCGCAGCGATCACAGCTCGCTGCTGCTGCCTGCTGCTGCTGCTGCTGCTGCTGCTGCTGCTGTGAGTGAAGGCCCAGTGCTGCCCTTGAACGTGTCTTCTTTAGAAACAGCAGCAGAGACTGCAGCAGCAGCAGCAGCAGAGACTGCAGCAGCAGCAGCATCTGCGTGCTTTAATTCAGCGCCTCCTTTGTCTGAGGGGCCCCCGGAGGCAGCAGTTGCTGCCTCAAATGCTTCATTGCTGCGGCTGCCGCTGGAGTGCATCGACAGCTCAGCAGCAGCAGCAGCAGCAGCGGGAGGGCCCGAGAGCAGCAGTGCGCTGCTGGCGCTGGGGGCCCCGGGGGCCGCGGGAAGCAGCAGCAGAGGTGGGGAGACAGCTGGGGAGCAGCAAAGGGGAACTTTGCTGCAGCAAAACAGTTTAGATTCTGCTGCTGCTGCTGCTGCAGCAGCAGGCAGCAGCAGCGCCGACAGGGCCGAGGCGCCTTTCTCCTACACGGCTCTGTTTAGGTGAGCAGCTGCAGCAGCTCCACTTCCCTCCAGCAGCGCTGCTGCTGCTGCTGCTGCTGCTGCTGTTGCTGCTGCAGCAGCAGCAGCAGCAAAAGACGCCGCAGGGCTGTTTGCCGCAGCGCCAGCGCCGCTCTGTTTCCTTTCTTCCCCTCTGGCCCCACCAGCTCTCACTAGTAATAAGAAATAAATAAATAAATAATAAATAAATTAAATGGTAAATAAATATAAATAAATAACAAATAAATAAATAAATAAATAAATAAATAAATAATAATTGAATTAATTTGTTTGTTTGGTCTCAGGAGGTCCTTCTCGGCCCCCAGCCTTTGCGGCGCCGAGACCCGCATAGACCCTGAGGGGCCCCTGGGGGCCCCCGGGGGGCCCCCGGGGGCCCCCGGGGGCCCCGTGGGGGGCCCCCCTGGGGGCCCCCGGGGGCCCCTGGGGTCCGGGGGGTTTGTGGAGATGGAAATGCTGCGGCAAGGGTGGGGCCCCTATGGGCCCCTCGCGGGCTTCATGCTGCACTGTTTTGCTGCTAGTGATTCTGCTGTAACTGGAAGCGAGGAGGGAGCAGCAGAAGAGGCGCTGCAGCAGCAGCAGGGGCGCAGCAGCAGCAGCAGCAGCAGCAGCGGCAGCAGCAGCAGCAGCAGGGCCTCCTCCATCTCCGCAACTTCCCCCAGGAGAGGCAGCGAAGCAGAATACGAAGCAGAAGATGAATTGACAGCCACGAGGCAGCAGGGGGGCCCCCGAAGGGGCCCCCGGAGGGGCAGGCTGAGGGAGCAGCAGCAGCAGCTGCTGCTGCAGCAGCAGCAGCAGCAGCGGCAGCGCCACAACCAGGACAGGGCGCTGAGGCGGTCCTTCCGCTCCTCCGAAAGCCCCAGCCTCGAGTGGCAACACAGGCAGCAGCAGCAGCTGCTGCAGCAGCAGCAGCTGCTGCAGCAGCAGCAGCAGCAGCAGCAGCAGCAAGACACGCAGCAGCCCGTACCTGCTCCCTGGAGCCCCCGCAGACACAGGAGAAGAGACAGGACCCGAATTGGGGCCTCCCCTCCCACTTCCTCCGCCTCGGGGGCCCCCCAGGGGGGCCCCCCGGGCCGCGCGGGGGCCCCCCTGGGGGGCCCCCCGGGCCGCCCGGGGGCCCCCCTGGGGGCCCCCCCGGGCCGCGCGGGGGCCCCCCGGGGGCTTCGAGGGGCGACGGCCAGCAGGCGGCCCTCGGCGCTGAGTGTGGGGAAGCCGAGTTACAGCAAGGGGGGCCCCCCAAACCCTGAATAAGGGTTTGTGGTTTTGGTCTTTTCGAGGGTTTTCTTTTGCTGCTCTCTGCCTCCACCGCAAACTAAATAGTCTCAGCCTTTATTAGCCCACGCAGTCCCACCTTCTTATTGGCGAGTCGCCGCGGCGCCGGTGGTTTGGGGGCCCCCGGGGCCCCCGGGGCCCCCCGGGGCCCACCAGTCCGCACAGCGGGGCCCCGCTGGGACCCCAGGGGCCCCCGGGGGGCCCCCGGGGGCCCCCTTCTGGGACGGGATTTGCTTTGCGTCCCAGACCATCGTTTGGCCCCTTCTTCTGGTTTGTCCTCCGTGTTGAAGGGGCTTGTAAATAGACTTGTTTGTTTATTTGTCGTCGGGACAAAGACGTCAAGTGAAAGTGCGGCCTTTCTGCTTTGCAGGAGAGAAGTAAAGTACTTGTCTTTAAAGTACTTGTCTTTAAAGTACTTGTCTTTAAAGTACTGTCTTTAAAGTACTTGTCTTTAAAGTGCTTTGTCTTTAAAGTGCTTTGTCTTTAGTTGAACTCTGAAGGGCGAAAAGCAGGCCCGCGGGAAGACAGGCAGAGTAGAGCTCCCCGCATTCAATTTAGACTGCGGCAGTCGCGAGTGCCCCGCGATCCTGTCAGTCGCCAGCAGATCCGGAATAAATAAATTCAAATATGCAAAAAGGGGAAAAAAGAAGTCGGAAACATCATCTGAAAAGGCGCAGAGCCTCGGGTTTCCGCGGATCGCGCGAGCTGCACATACACCTCAGATGCGCGCGCGGATCGGCGTCGCGGCGCTGATCTGCACTTCATTTGCGACTTTCTGGAAAAACAAAAGTGCAGAACTTCCGGGAAATGATAATTGTTGTTTGTTTTTGCGTGTTGGCCGCTGCGAGGGCCGCGGGGGCGGCGGGCGACTCGAGAGTTGCAAGTTCCGAGTTGCACTACGAGCCGCGGCACCCGGAAGTCCTCGGTGAGAAACCGAGGGAATCTCATTCTAAAAAGCAGCTTTTGACTTCCTTTTTCTCAGATTTGATGCCAAACGACTTCGGGCCCGTCCGTAAGCAGCAGCAGCAGCACTTTGCTGCTTCTTTCTGCACTTTTCTGCATTTCCGCGCCCCCCCGCCCCCGCTGCAGTGCCCCCCCCGCCGCAGCCCCAGAAGGAAGCGCCCGCTGCTGCGCCTGCAGCAGCAAATGTGCGGCTCGGGGGTTCGCTCGAGCAGCTGCTGCGGGAGGGCGGCCGCGAGGGGTCTTCTTTTCAAAAGACCAAGAAGGACTTTGCTGCTTACCTCGTGAAAGTGAGCTGCTGCTGCTGCTGCTGCTGCTGCTGCTGCAGCTGCTGCGCAGCCAGCTTCGCTCGCTGCTGCCTCGCGCTGCCTGACTCTGCAAAGCTGCCTAACTGCGCCTACGTGCGGCCAACTGATCTGCTGCTGCTGCTGCTGCTGCTGCTGCTCTGCTGCTGCTGCTCTGTCGCTGCTAACGCTGGTCTGCTGCTGAAGAGGCTACTTTCCTGCTGCTGCTGGTGAGCTGCTGCTGCTGCTCAGTTCGAAGCGCTGGCTGCGAGGAAGACAGTGGTGCTGCAGGTGAGCTGCTACTGGTGCTGCTGCTGCTGCGGCTTGCGGGAATCTGTTTGCTGCAGCTGGACTTGTCGCCTGCTGCTGCTGCAGCACGAAGGCCTCAAGACATTTGAATTAACTTTTTGGTTTCTGCGGACTTGGCAGAAGTGCAAACTTTCCCTCAGTGACCTGTGTCAGTTGGAGGCAGCAGCAAGAAGCCCCCTGGCTTGGAGGGATCGGCAACTACAGAAACAAGAAAGCAGCAGCAGCAGCAGCAGCAGCAGCTGCTGCTGCTGCTGCTGCTCTTCTTGCTGCGCTCGCGCTGCGCCTTTTGCTTCTTGCTGCAGCAGCTTCCGGCGGCCTCGCCGCCCGCTGCTGCTGCTGTCGCAGTTGCGACTTTGCGGCGGCGGCGCCGCCACGCTGAACAAAAATAAAACGGCGGCGCCGCCCCAGCAGCAGCAGCAGCAGCAGCAGCAGCAGCAGCAGCAGACGCGCTGCGCGCGTCACTCCCGAATCACTTCAGTCCCACTCTTGACATGAACTTCCTTTGCTTCTTTCCGCAGCACTCGAAAGCCCCGCAAAGCCTCCACGGGAGCAGCAGCAGCAGCAGCAGCATCGGAAAGCGGCTCAAAGCTCCAGCCCGCGTTGCGCACTGACAGACTGTCCACCACCAGCGACGCCCCTGCAGCAGCAGCAGCAGCAGCAGCAGCAGCAGCAGCAGCAGCAGTAGCAGTAGAAGCAGCGGAGGCAGTGCAGCACCCGCAGCAGCAGCGGCAGCCGCAGCAGGAGTAGCAGTAGCTGTAGCAGCTGCCGCAGCAGCAGCTGCTGCTGCTGCAGCAGAAGTAGCAGTGGCAGCAACAGCAGCAGCAGCAGCAGGAGAGAAGCCGCTCGAGCGGCCAGCCTAGACAGATGCTGCTGCCGCGCCGCGCCCGCGGAGAACCTGAACTTTGGAATTGGAAGTGGAAAAAGAAAAAGAAGAAATAAAACAAAGAAATAAATAAATAAATAAAACAAAAAGAAATAAAAATTCCTCACCAGGGTCTGCCTTCAGCAGCAAAGCGCCGTCCAATTCCAAATTGTGAATTTCGACATCTCCGGAAATGACCAGCGCCGAGCTGAGCAGCAGATACACCGCAGCGCACTGTGCAGATCTGGCGGCGGAAAGCAGCACTTTGTGGCGCTTTTTGCGCGCAAAAAGGACTTAAAAGGGAAAATAAAATAAAATAAAATAAAATAAAATAAAATAAAAGAAAAAAGAATCCAAAGGAGCCCCGGAAGCGCCCGAAACTCCGACGGACTCCTGCTGAATCCGCAGGTTGGCGCCCCGCAGCCGTTCCTTCATTTGCTGCAGCGAAATCGCCCAGGAAGGACAAAGGACGATTTTGGGGCCCATTTGGTACTTAACGCCTCCGAAGCAAACGGGCCGGGGCTCCGCAATGAACACGGAGCCGCTGCTGCTGCTGCTGCTGCTGCTGCTGCTGCTGCTGCTGCTGCTGCTGCTGCAGGCCACGGCGAGCTTCAGCCACTGCGCGTTCTGGTAGTACAAGTCCGCCTCGCCGCTCAGCGCGGACTCCGGCGGCAAAGCGCTCGCGGCTTTCTTGCGCGCGTCTTCGACGGAGTTCTTCACGGGGCTGAAGCAGCACCAGCGGGGCAGTTCCACGAAGCCGACCTGCGCCGGAGTTGGAAGTAAGTGGAAAATAAGAGAACAATTACTTGCAAATGTGTCTTTAATTCATCTTAATTCATCTTAATTCGTCTTAATTCATCTTAATTCGTCTTAATTCATCTTAATCCATCTTAATTCATCTTAATTCGTGTTAATTCATGTTAATTCATGTTAATTCATGTTAATTCATGTTAATTCATGTTAATTCATGTTAATTCATTATTAATGCATTATTAATGCATTATTAATCAATTATTAATGCATTATTAATGCATTATTAATTCATTGTTAATTATTAATTCATTATTAATTCATTATTAATTCATTATTAATTCATTATTAATTAATTATTAATGCATTAATAATTAATTATTAATTAATTATTAATTCATTGTTAGGCAGTGGAGGGCTTTTTCGGGCTTTGGGCCAGCCAAAAGGAAAAGTGGAAAGCGACAGGGAAAGTGAGAGAGAGGCAGCAGCAGCAAAAAGCAAATAATGAAATTAGGAGTTAAGTCTGGAATTAAAATAAAGAATTAAAATAAAGAATTAAAATAAAGAATTAAAATAAATAATTGAAATAAATAATTGAAATAAAGAATTAAAATAAAAAATTAAAATAAAGAATTAAAATAAATAATTGAAATAAAAAATTAAAATAAAAAATTAAAATGAAGAATTAAAATAAAGAATTAAAATAAAGAATTAAAATAAAGAATTAAAATAAAGAATTAAAATAAAGAATTAAAATAAAGAACTGAAATAAAGAATCGAAATAAAGAATCGAAATAAAGAACTGAAACAAAGAATTAAAATAAAGAATTAAAATAAAGAATTAAAATGAAGAATTAAAATAAAGAATTAAAATAAAGAATTAAAATAAAGAACTGAAATAAAGAATGAGATAAAGAATGAGATAAAGAATGAAATAAAGAATGGAAATAAGTGGAAATAAATAAAAAAGAATAAATAAAATAAAAAGAAACTCTCACCTTGTCTTCCGGCGCCAGCTGCAGCGGCAAGTCCTGCATCATACTTTCGAGGCGCGCGGGCGACTTGAAGGAAGTTTTCGTTTCGTCCTAAGTCCAAACGCAAAGCCAAAGCAGCAGCACAACCAGTTGCAGCAATGCAGCAGCAGCAGCAGCAGCAGCAGCACAAACAATTGAAGCAAATGCAGCAGCAGCAGCAGCAGCACAGCGAATTGAAGCAAATGCAGCAGCAGCAGCAGCACAACCAATTGAAGCAAATGCAGCAGCAGCAGCACAACTAATTGAAATAAGTGCAGCAGCAGCAGCAGCACAACTAATTGAAATAAGTGCAGCAGCAGCAGCAGCACCACGAATTGAAGCAAATGCAGCAGCAGCAGCACAATTAATTGAAATGAATGCAGCAGCAGCAGCAGCACAACTAATTGAAATGAATGCAGCAGCAGCAGCAGCACAACTAGTTGAAGTAAGTGCAGCAGCAGCAGCAGAAGGCGCATTCGAGTTGACAAAAGGCTGCAGAAGGCTTCCGCATGCAGGCAGCAAGAAAGCGTTTTATTTGCAATTTTGAATATAAATTCTTTTTTAAAACTAATTTATTCAAAATTGCAAATAAAAGTTCAAAGTAAATGCTTTTTAATTAATTAAATTCTTTTTTAAAACTAATTATTAATTAAAAAGCATTTACTTTGAACTTGGGATTTATAAACTCCGGCACGAGACCCCCAGAACTCTCCAAAGCCCGCAAGTAAGGCTCCAGACTCAGCACTATGGCGTTGGTGTTTCCGGGCAAAAGCGAATAGCCCTCAGGCCCCGCCGTGTCTCCGCCTTTGCCCGTGGCCTGCAGCAGCAAAGCAGTGAACAGCAAAGGCGCAGTTGCTGCAGTTTGCTGCAGCTTTGCTGCAGTTTGCTGCAGCTTTGCTGCAGCTTTGCTGCAGTTTTGCTGCAGCTTTGCTGCAGCTTTGCTGCAGCAGCAGCGGGACGCAGACTTCAAGAAGGGAAAGCGGGGGGAAGAAGTTTGAATTGATTCGCAGCAAAGACGCAAACACTGCAGCCACCTCAGGAGTCAGCGAAGTGCACAGAAAAGGAGAAAGCAGCAGCAAAGGAAGCCGCGGAACCCGCACGGAAAGCACTCCGATCCGGGCCTTTGCATGCGGCCTGAAGGGCCCTTTGGGGCTCTTTTTAAAGTTTTTGCAAACTCATTAATGCACAAAGAAGAATACCTTCAAAAGACTGTCCAGCACGTTGTATTCCACGTTGAGAGTCAGCTCGCGCTCCGCCGAAACCAGCCGGCAAATGCTGCCGACGGCTTCCCCAGGCCGCCTGCAGCAGCAAAACAAAACAAGAAAAACTTAATTTATAATAACGCGCGAATATCTGAACAATTAATGGCTGATCCTCCACTTAATCGCGCAGCTTCCCGCTTTTGCACTCGTTCAAGAGCAGCAGCAGGAAAGCGTGCAGACACCGAGCTGAAGAGTTCACGAACGAGAGTTCGCCGCGTCGGCTGTTTGTTTGGCGTTGAATTAATCTTTATTTATTTTATTAACTCCTCGCGCGTTTTGGCGAGTCGGATCTGGCGATCGGGCGGCCGTGTTGCACTTGCACTTGCACTTGCACTTGCAATTCAACTTTCGCACTTGCTGCAGCTGCTGCACTGCTGCAGCTGCTGCTGCTGCTGCTGCTGCAGCAGCAGCAGCTGCATTTGCTGGAGCAGCAGCCTTGCTGCGTGTGGTTCGGACCTGGGAACGGCGATGGAGTTCATGGCGAGTCCCCTGCGTTCGGAAACGCCGATGACGGCCAGCAGCACGCGGAGGACCGCCGCGTTGGTGTCCTGCAGCAAAGCGACCCAGCGGAGGCCCCGCTGCTGCCAGCTGCTGAGCAGCCCGGAGCGCAGCAGCAGCGCGTGGACGTCGCCGTGGCCGTGGGGCTTCAGCAGCAGCTGGAAGCGGTCTTGGGGGCAGGTGGCGAGCCTGGCCTGCATGTCGGCGAGCGCGGGCACTTTTTGCTGCTGCAGCAAATGGACTTGGCTTCTGTCGAGTCCGAAGAAGTCGTGGGCCTCCAGCAGCGCCGCAGTCGCCGCGTGCGTGTCCCCCGAGGTCATGATCGCCAGCGGCAGCCGCACCTCCTCCCCCTGCTGCTGCTGCTGCTGCTGCTGCTGCTGCTGCTGCTGGGCGTGGCGCTGGCAGGCGGCGACGAAGCTGCAGTAGAGCTGCAGGTAGCTGCTGCCGGTGCAGCTCTCCGTGGGCAGCCCCAGCTTGATGCCCGAATAGCCCAGCCGCTCGCCCAGGCCGCCCGCCACCACCACGAAGGCGCAGCGCCGCAGCTGCTGCAGCCCCGCGGCCTCGAAGGCCAAAAAGGCTTCGCTGCCCGGCCGCAGCCGCTCGCCCGCAGGCACTGCCACGCTGAAGCCCTCGAAGGGATTCGCCCCCGCGCCCGCAGCCCGCAGCAGCTCCTGCGCCCGGCCCACGTACGCCCGCAGGCCCCCGGGGTACGAGGCGTCCGCCGCCGCCAGCTGCTGCAGCAGCCGCGCCTCGTCTGCAGCAAACAGCGCACCCCGCCGCTGCTGCTGCTGCGCTGCTGGTGCTGCTGCTGCGCTGCGCTGCTGCGGAGGCGAAGGAAGCGCTTCACTTACCTGCCGCAGACGCATCCGGCGGGAAGAGGTGGCCCTGGTGCAGCTCCTCTATCAAGTGTCTCTTGAGCGCCGCCGGCTCCATCGACGCCGCCGCCGCTGCGGGCGCGCTGGCTCTTGCACTTGCAAACGGCTCCGCCGCTTCGCCTTCTTTGCAGGGCGACCCTCTGCGCAGAAAACGCAAAAACGCGAAGCAGTCCTGGGCAGCCGCCGCGCCCGCCGGACGCTGCGGCTGCTCTGCGGCTCCGCCGCCGCGCAGCCGCAGCTGCCCGCGCCGCTCGGCTCCGCAGCAGCCGCGCTTGCTTCCCCGCCAGCTCCCACTCGCACCACTGCCACTTCCAAGCACGCTCAGTCGCATTTACGAACCCTTCGCTGCATTCAAGCGCGAACTGCCCGCCCGCTCCCGCCGCGGAGTCCGCGGCGGCAGGCGGCAGAACAACGACCGTCGCGCCGCACGCCACGCAACACCGCTCCCTTTGCAAACCCCCAAAGAAACGCTACGCCGCGCGAAAAACGCAGTGCTATTTCGACCAATTCACTCAGCGCCAACCTATTTGCCAGCTCTCACCCTGTCGCCGACGCACGGTGACTATTGCCCGATGAGCAACAGACAGCAGGGGCGCAACGCAGCATATTTACAAGGCCCTCGCCTGCTATGCGGCCACCAATTCACAGTTACAGGCCGTGATCATAGTAATGCCCTTCAAAGCGTCGCCGACAATGTTCACACTGCTCCACACTTTGCCTCGGCTCGCCCCCTTGCAGCCCGCGGCAGCAGTCCCATGTCGGCCACATGCCTAGCCAGCAACACAGACACAGAGCGCAATGAAGCCACGCAAAAGACACACAAGCGTATTGGGCCGATATATTCACTTTTGCTAAACCTAATGCAAGACTCAATGCCGTAGCTAAAGTTACTTGGGCAACGCCCGCTCAGCCCGTGGTCTGCGGAGCATTTCTCATTGCTTCCACGCAGGTCTTCCCTAGCTATTTTTTGCGAGCCACTCTTTGAAAGCAACCCTACTCTAGTAACAGACCCAAAGAATCCAACTCGTTGCTACCAACAGTTGGTTGCAGTCCTGGAACAACGCTATTGCCACAGCTCAAAACGAGAATTCCATTTAGCTGACACCGTCGTCACTGACTTCAAGCCTTCAACAAGCTCCACAATAGCAGCTCCCATCTGCCGCGGTGGTTAAACGCGCAGTAACATAGAGAACGTAGCTTTAATGCCACGCAAGGCAACCGTAAAAGCGCTCCGTATGTTGCACAAGGATCGCTTGTTGCAACGCCTGCTTCCAGAGTAGTGTGCAGTCTTCTAACGAGGGCGGCTAAAAAAGCGTTCTCTAGCCTCAAGTCCGTGGTAAACACACTCAGATCACCTCTGCAAAGAGTGCCAACGCGTTTCAATTGGTTGATCTTCTGGATCCGGCAGGGTGCGCTTGCCCTGCAAGAGTAGTTCAAAATCTCGACGGTGAAGAAAGCTACTGCGCGAAAAACGGTTTCCAGTTAACTCAGCTCGGAAACACCTGAATTGTGTGTGTGTGTGCGGAAAACGAAAGAGGGAATGAAATGACGGGAAAAATGCGCTAAATCTCCGCGAGCGTGCGGTGTACGTACAGGCAGCGGCGTTAGCGTGCACGGCGCCCGTCACTTGTAGAAAGTTCGGTTTTTTTCATGTCGAGTACGCCTGGTGACAACAGTTTCCAACCGCACTGGAAACAGCAAGACTAGAGTTGAAATGCTGGCTTCCCTGCAGATCGGTGGGGAGCAGACGCTGTCTGGAGGCGGGGGAGAAGATGGCTCCAGCGGGGCGAACGAGCAGCGGCCGGCTTCGGCTGCAGCCTTTGCAGGCGAAGGCGGCGACCCCCGCGCGGCCGCCGGCCCAGTGCTGCCTGCCTACTGGGGCGCTACACAGGAGTCGCCGCCGCACCGGGAGCAAGAAGACGTGTCGCCGGACGTGTGGAAGTACCTCAGCGCGGACTCGCCGTCCATCCTGCGTCTGCAGTGCCTCTGGTCTTACTTCGGCTTGCCCGCGCTGAGTCTGGCGGACAGCGTCGCCGACGTGGCCTCGATTGCGGCGCAGACGGACGGGTTTCGCTCCGTCCTTCAGGTTTCCTCCCCCATGCTGCACAAGTGAGTGTGCGCGTCGAAAGCCCTCCGAGGCCCAGCTGCCTTCACTTGCCTGCAGTCCCCACGTAGAAAGCGTGAAAGACATATACTTCGCGAAGGACTTCCGCGCCATCGTCTTCACCGGCATTCAGTAAGTCGCCCCCCGCCTCCCCGACTCTCGAAACGCTCCAGCAGCCGTTCCTGACCAGACTCGCAGTCGACTTGCGCGCTGCCGGCGACGCCTTCGAGAAGGCGCTCCGCTTGAGGGACCAGCACATGCTGCCGTCTCTGCTCGTCGTCCGGAACGTCCCCGCTGTGCGCATGGAGAGGTAAGGGGCGACGCAGCGCAGCGCTGCAGCTCGCTGTGAAGCGCAGCGACTCTTCACTCTGCGCGATCGCCACAGGGATGGCAGCTTGTCGCCTTGCGGCTACGTCACGGTTCGCAAACACGTAAGTTCGGGTTCCCACACTTGCGAAGAAACGCGCAAGCAGTGTGCGGCGGATACATAGAAAGCGTTTCGGTGGATCGTGTCCCTTGCCCCCTCCAACGCAAGAGCCTACGACGTCTTCGACATGGTGGAAGGCTTGGAACTCGGAAACTGTTCTGGCCTTTTTGTCATCGGCACCTGGTGAGCGGAAACCGCAGCAGGCAGCAAACACCCCGCACTCATGCGCGAGGCAAACTGCAGGATTCTGGACTTGCGGACATTTTCAGCTTTGAAAATGCTGTTCCGCTCGGATCTCCGAAATTCAAGAACTACGCCTCCCGAGTATCTGTTCGAGGCCGCCTTCGAGGCCTTCGGAGGCGTTTTGGGCCAGCAAGAGGGCGATGATGGCTTAGAAGACCCGCTCGAGCTCGGGAGACCTGAAGAGGTTACAGGAAGCACGGCCTTACCCGTCAGTTCGGAAGGAACCCAAGAGAGAGGGACCCCAAGCTCACTTCCCGAGGCGGAACCATCGGATGAAGAAGAAGGCAATAAACTGCCAGAGCACGCGTGTGATGCTTTGCCCGGCAGTCCGCTGAAACAAAGTCTGTCCTTGGAGGACCAGCAGCAGGAACGTTTTGAAGAAGATACGACGCTCTCAGCTGCTTCAATGAAAGCGAATGAGGCAACACACTCGAGGGTGGGAACATAATTTTTTTCAAATATTCTGATTTTTTCTCTCATGTTGGCGTCTTCAGGGGAAGCATCCGCGACTTAGTGCCGGTTCCTGTTTTCAAGATCGAGAGCACAGTGCTGTCGCACCGAAGCCTTTCTATGAAGACAGTGGAAGCCACGCAGCGATGAAACATGACGAACATATCGATTCCTGTCCCAAAAGAGAACCAGTCAGCATTTTGCAAAACGGAGAAACTCGCTGCCGGCTACCGACCGACGCCCCATACAAGGATCTTTCCGTGCAATTTCCCCAATCGGAACAGTGGCTAGAACGGCCAAAAGATATGCAAGCAGCATCTACCCTTAGCAGGGAAGAGACAAGAGAAGATGACCAGCACACACCAATAGCCGTGAAGGCTGAAAAGGCGGAATGCCTGAGGAACAATAACACGAGCCATCGGTGTTTGACGACGACCACATCCGATGTGCATGACGAATTCGAAACACGGACAAATTCTTTCGGAGATCACAGTGCTGAGAAGCCTGGTACAGATGAGAACAATCAGGTCGGAGTCGCTAAGGCCAACGACGGAGAAACACCGCCTCTTGAGACATCCACCGCTGCAAAAGCCACTTTCGATGAAGTCATCGAAAAACAACTGCGTAGTTGGATGGCTGTGAACAGCGTCAAATATTGCGGTCATAAGTCTTCTGCTCTGGTTGAAAGATGTTATCCTTCCCATGAATTTGAGTACTGGGCTGTTGAGGTCAGTTCCAGATTACACTTGAGTAAATGCAACGCTAGGCGATTTCATGATAATAAAGGATCTGTTAGTCACCGCTGACCAAAATTACGAGAGCGATGAGCCAGGGACTCTTAGCCTAAATTGCGGGGATGAAGTTTTCTTGTTGTCAGTCATGGTAAGTTGCATGAGCACTGGCGTACTCTGCGCGATCTGTAGTTTTATCATACTTTCATGCTGTTGCAGAACACGTCATGGGCGTTTTGCCGCAAAAGCAGTGGAGAATTTGGATACGTACCTACGGTGGCCGTTCCATGTGCATTTAGGAAGATATTTAAGCATACGAAAATGTATGCTAGAAAAACTGCAAGTGTGGATCGCATCTGTAAATGGAAGGACGCCACATACTATCCGGGAGATCCCATCGTAATTCTAGCAGAGTTTGGGAAATGGTAAGGTTGCACTGTAGATGGATTCATCCCAAGATTCTCAACATCAGATTTGTAGGTTGTTGGTGCGTGACTATCTGAGGCCATTTCGGCAAGCTTACATCCCGAGGGCTCGGTAAGGCAAATAACGCATGAGAAAACTGAACAACAAACAACTACTAACATCTTTTAAGGATAAAGCATTATATCTGAGTGGCTGCAAACGGCAAGGAAACCTCTATTGAATCCCAATATGCGTCGCGGAAGTGCGCGCATGGATTGCTTGTCTGATGAAATATTTATTTAAAGCTCTTCCACCGCGCGCAAGTCGCATGCATGGCCAAATCAGATTTCACTGTCGCAGTCGATAAGAGCATGATTTCCTCGAAGCGGAAATATATTTAGTATCCGCCAAAACTGTTGAACAGACTCTCATGAACGGTTTTAAATGTCTTGAATACTTGCATATTCGTGACTCACTTTCAGTTTGCAGGCATGATGTTGGCCACCCACGGGCGAGCCGAAGTGAATCTAGCATCAAAATGCACATACTCTGTTAGTGAGCATATGCATCTGTTCTTTAGCCAGTTCGATTCATTGTTGCTCCCCACGCCTTGGCAATGGTTTGCTGTTTTTGCTGTTTTGAAATGCCACTACGTGGGGAGGGGTTTGAAACTAGCTTGAAAAGGCTGTGCTTGTTCAGCTCTTCATCTGCATGAATGAAACGGAATGCAGGAGTGTAGCCAAGTTCTAAACGTCTCGCCATTTGCATCCGTAAGTGTGGCGACGCGCGGTTCAGTCGTTCTTCGACGTCCTTGGGGTCGTGTCTAGACACCACGGTGAAAAACACATTGCATGTTGACCTGAAAAGGCAGCACTACAGGAGGAAGGAGTAAGACGTCAAGGCCGCGATAAGACAAACAGCAACGGGCGGGAAGGCTCTGCTGAAGGCCTGGAAGCTGGCGCTCACCTTGTGGTTTGTTGTTCCACATGGTGAATTGAAACTGAAGCTCCCCCCAGCATTCCGTGGAGGAATTCCGCGGAGTTCCACGTAAGGAATTCTTCAAGCTGCGACTGCAGAAGGCGCGCCTGGCGGACAGTTCTGCGGGCCACGTGGAACTTGATAGGGTCGACGATCTGGCCTGCAGAGGCAAATGGAGCCAACGGCCGATTTGCATGTTGGACTTTGGGCCCTACTGGCAGATGCCGCGGTCAGAATTTGTTTTCTTACCTTGAACATTGGGCAAGGGGGCCTTCATGAGCCTCGCATTTGCGAGTTTCTCCTCCCGCATCTTCGCTCGGATGCGAGAGGCCAGCTCCTGTCTTTCCGCATCGGCTTCCATCCTCACGAGGTGCCGCGCTGCTCTCACGCCGTCGCCGAGACCAAGTGACTCGATGAGGGCGTCTTCGGTCTAGCGGCGCAGCAGCAGAACAGGCAGCCCTTATGCATGCATTCTTACGTGTGCTATTATACAACAGCAGCAAAGACCGGAAGGAGGCCTCTGTTGCGCGGCTTTCAGTATATTTATCACGGAGAAAAAGACTCGAACCCTCACGGGAGAACTCGACTGAAACCCTCAGCTTCCCACTCTGCCGCTGCTGCTGCTGCTGCTGGTTGTTCTGCTGCTGCTGCTGGCGAGCGCACCTGGTCTTGCGCGTGGGCCTTGAGAATGGCGGCGGCGTCTCTGTCGGGGTCGGGGAGCGCCCTGGACTTGAGCCAGCGGACTCTTCGGTCCAGCAGCAGCTTTTGCTGGTAAGCCTCGTGCATGCGCGCGGCCTCTTCGTGGGTCAGCTCGCGGTATTCGCCTTTTCCGCGGAGACACGAATAGTCAAAAAGCTCCGCAGTGGGGTCCTTCTTCTCCGGAAAGTCCAGCGAGGCCTCCCCTCTGTCCTCCTCCTCATCAGCAGCAGCAGCAGCAGCAGCGGCAGCAGCAGCAGCTTCACTCGCCGGCGTCTGCGGCTCCTCCAGGTGGGCTGCAGCAGCAGCTCACGCCCCACAGCAGCGCAGCAACAGTGGCGGCGCGGCTGCGGGCCATGGGCTGTGTCCGTGATTAGAGTTGCACAAATGGGGTCTCTGATTCAATTCTTCATAAGTGCTTTTCTTTTCTCACTTTTTCTTCTTCTTCGCTGCACCCGACCGGCTGCTGCAGCTGCCCCCGGCAGCGGCGGGTTGAACGTCCCCGTGGGTGCTTTGTAGCGCCCCAAAAACTCTTTCCAGCCCGTCTCTACGAGGCTTTCCGAGCTGCTGCTGCTGCTGCTGCTGTCTGCTGCTGCTGCTGCTGCGCTTGACTGCCTACTGGACCGCGCGGGGGCTCTGCGGCGGCCCACAGAGCGGGCGAACTCTTCTTTGACTTCTTCCGAATCCCACAGAGACGGCGGACGACGGCCTGAGAACGCAACGCAGCAGCAGCAGCAGCAGCAACAGCTGCAGCAGGGGGGCCTCAGCAGCAGCAGGGCTCTTGGCACGCATGCAGCCGTTTATATGCACACTAAGGAAAGCCCTAAATAAAGAGTGGCCTGTGGCGCTTGCTGCTGCGCCTTGCTACACTTGCGTGAAAGGAGGCCTAGCGGCTGCCACTTGCTGCTGTTGCTGCTGCTGAGGCTGCTGCCGCCCATTCTGCTGCTGCTGGCTAGCGCTGGCAGCCCCGGTGCAGCAAGAGACCCCAGTCGGTGTGCACAGATGGAAAGCCTCCTGAAAGATGCTTGGGCTCGAGCTGGAGGCCGTGGAAAGTCTTCGCCTGCCGGCGCTGCTGCTACTGCTGCTGCTGTTGCTGCTGGTACTGCTGCAGCTGCTGCAGGCGCTGCTGCAGCTGCTGTAGCTCCCCCCAGCCTCCAGGGGCCTCCTGCTGCTGCTGCTGCAGCTGAGAAGCGAAAGAGGCCCCCAGAGAGCCTCTTTGCGTGGGAAGCCATGGGCTGGCTGTTGGCAGCAAAGTAGAGTGTTTGGTGTTAACGTGAAAAAGATGAAAAGGGAAAAAAACGAGGGGAAGTGAGGATTTGAGCTGACAGAATCTTTCCTTCCTTACTACCTCACACACTCTGAAGCTTCTACACTTTGTTGTGAAGCAGCAGCTTTGTCGCTGCTGCGGCTCTGGCTAGCTGCTTGCTGCTGCGGCCAGTTTGGTCTTAGTTGAATTACGCCTTTTCTGGCGAACCCCGGCTTCTTCGAAGACTAGGGGGAGTTCGAGATACACAGGCAGCAGCAGTCCGGAAATTGATTCAATAAAAAGGCATTTTGGTGAAAAAAAGGAAATTAAATTCACTTTGAAGGGGAAAACGGAAAACGCCGCTCAGTTCAGCTTCGCGGGGGCCCCAGCTCAAGGTTTCGGCCGCATGCAGGGGAAACAACCGCAAGGGTTTACTCGGGAATAAGGAAATGTAAAAACTGATCTTCTGTTGTTTCGATTTCCTTTTTATTAATTCAAAACCCCCGTTTCCTCAAGTTCATTTAGAGCTGCTTTCCCCCCAAGGCAGCCCCCGATACATAGGGGGCCCTGCTCATTCAGTTTTGGTACATACACGTGGGAAACCCGAAGCAGCAGCAGCAGCAGTAGCTGCTGCTGCTGCTGCTGTTTTGCATTTTGAAACTCGTAGCAGACACATCGGCTAAGGAGGGCCAGGGGCGTCGGCTCTCGGGCTGTCACCTTGGGACAAGCGAGCCTTAAACCCTAAACCCTAAACCCTAAACCCTAGGCACGAACCCTCCAAAGCTCAGCTTTCGTTCCCGGTACTGTGCGTTGCGGCTCCTCCTGCTGCTGCTTTCCCCGGGTTGAGGGTTAAGGGTTTCGGGTTTAGTTTCTGCACTGCAGCTAGTTGAGCGAAGAGCCCATGGATCCGCAGGAAGCAGCAGCAGCAGCAACAGCAGCAGAGCCCAAAGGCGCTGTTTCAATCTGCCTCCCCCCAGAGGCGCAGCAGGCGCTGCCGCTGACCATCAAATGGAGAGTTCCAGCCGGCAGCCACGTGGTCGAGGGCCAGGTGCTCGCGCACCTCTTTCCGCCCCCTGCTGCTGCTGCTGCTGCTGCTGAGAATGGCGGCGAAGGTGCAGCAGCAGCAGCAGCAGCAGCAGCAGACGCAGCAGATGCACAAGGGCAAGAAACGGCAACGGCCGCGGACACACCGGCAGCGCCGGCAGCAGGAGCAGCAGCTGTAAGCCCAGCAGCACGTCCCGGAGCAGCAGAAGCGGCAGAAGCAGCAGAAGCAGCAGAAGCAGCAGAAGCAGCAAAGGGAACGGAGGCAGCAGATTCAGTTGGACCAGCAGCAGCAGGAGAAGCAGCGCGTGGGAGAGAAGCAGCCGGATCAGCAGAAGAACGCGGAGCAGCAGAAGCAGCAGCCGATGCAGCAGGAGGAAGCGCATCAGAAGCAGCAGCAACACGGGCAGCAGCAGGAGCAGCAGCAGCAGCGGATGGAAGGCCGCCTGCTGCTTCCGAGTTTGTGGTGCGCGCCCCTGTGTCTGGACTTCTTTGCAAGTTGTCGGTTTTGAACAATGAAATTATTTCCAGTAGTACCGAGTAAGCCACGCGGAGCAGCATTAGCTGCTGCTGCTGTTGCTGCTGCTGTTGCTGCTTCCCGTGCTGCAGCAGCAGGTGCTGCAGCAGCAGTCGCAGATGGCGCGTCCAGGCTGCTGCGAGTGTCTGATCCGTTTTCGTTTACCCCTCCCTGTTCCCTTCCCTGCTGCTTCCACCGCAACCGCCACCGCCGCCGCCGCCGCCGCCGCTGCTGCTGCTGCTGCTGCTGCTGCTGCTGCTGCTGCTGCTGCAGGCTGGGGGCGGTGGCGGCGACGGCCTGCGAGCACCCGCTGGCTGTGGGGGGCATCTGCCTCTGCTGCCTGGCGGCCGTGGGAGCCGAGGGCGAAGAAAAGGTCCAGGCCGGCTTTCTCTCCGCCCAGCGGGAACTCCGGGTGGACGTACACGTCAGCAGCGCGCCCCGCAGAGAGCCCTCACTTCTTTTATTCTGCACTTTTCCGTTTTGAATCGCTTTCGCTTTCTTCTGCGTTCACTTCTTTTATTCTGCACTTTTCCGT